CTGGCCATAAGATATTATTATTTCTGAAACAAAAAACTAACAAAGAACATTTTTAATGGAAGAAACTGGAAGTGAAAACTCATCCCAGAACTGATGACAAAAGATTTGGAAATATACTCTGGCAAACTACACAACAATTTTGCGATTACTATAGAATGGGACTGCTTTTAAAAGAAACAAGGTATCCAACACCAACATTTTCAAAGGCAAACTCAAATCCCTAGAAAATCCATCAGTTTACACCATATAAAACCATACCACAAGGTGGTGTTCACAAACTGTTGGCCCTGACAGGGACAACTGGGAGATTAAGATTAGTGATATGATCAAGAAGTTGGTGAATGACATGAAAATTGGTAAGCAGAGAAGTAGGATATCAGTGATCAAATAGGCAGAGCAGTGACAAATGAAATTAAATCCCAAAAAGCGTGAAGTATTGGAGGGACCTTTGTGTGCACATCCAGATTGCTAAAGGTAGTGGACCAAATAGATGACACGATTATGAAGGCATATTGGATACTTGTTTTCTATGCCTTGTTAATGAAGGCAAGAGCAGGGTCATTATGGTGGGACTGTATACAACACCATATGATCCATCATTAAGAAGACATTGGTGAGGCTATAAGGTACTATGTACAATTCTGGTTATACTGTAGAAAGGATGTGGTTTGATTAGAGAAGGGGCAGAGAAAATTTACCAGGATGCTCCCTGGGCAGGAGGATCTGAACTATAAACAAAGACTGGATAGGCTGGTTCTTTACAGATGCATTATTCCTTCAAGGGGATTGGTTAGCTGAGTTTGCAGAATAACACCAAAAGCATGGGTTCAATTCCTGCATGAGATGAGATTACCATAATGGTGCAATCTTCTCAACCTTGCCAGGGGTGTGGTGATCCTCAGGTCAAACCATCACCAGTTGTCTCTCTCTAATGAGAACACAACCCTGTGGTCTGGTAGGACCGTGACAACTTTACCTTTCTATTCCTCTAAATTTTCCCTTACCTCAAAAGGGAGAACACTTCTTGAAACAGACAATCAGCTCAATTGGACTTTCTACTTTCAGTTTGCATTGCTTATAAGTCAGTGTTATATTTGAAGACCCTAAGTTGGTATTCATCTGTTAACTAAAATCACCTGACACCAGCACTACCTTTCTTA